AACAGCCATTACCGGCTGTTCCATATACAAGCGATTGGTGGCTCTGGCCGCCGAAAAAACCGTGGGGCCCTCCCTAAAATTTCATACCAGACCCTTGATCTGAGCAGCCTGGTAGGGCCAGAAAGGGGGGGGCAAGCGAGTCCCCCCCCTCCCTTACCAGGCCACATGCCCTCGCCCCTGGAAAAGCACCTTGTCCCCTTGCTGATGGGGACAAGGGCCTCTTCCCCACAAGCCCTGCATCATTGGTTGTGGGGATCGGCGGGCAGGGGGGCTTATTCACATCAATGTACCCCTTTAATAATGCCGCCCCCCCCTTGTGAATGAGTAAGGGGCACTTGTACCCCTACCCATTCACTAAAGGGTTAAATAAAATTGTAAATAAAAAGACCAGACTTTGAAAAAATCCTTTATTTGGAAAAACAAAAACAAAAGACATGTTATTTTACTTTATTTTAAAAAAATTGATCCACCGGTGTAATCCAGGGTCAATCATGGCGTCCAGCATTGTCCACGACGACGACGACTCGATAAAATAGAAAAAAATTGAACGATAAAAAATAAATAGAAATAATAAAAATAAAAAAAACGACCAAAGTCGTCCCGTTCAACACTAACCGCATAATGGCATTTTTACAGATGCCGGTAACATATAAACATTTGGGCGGAGCTAGCAGTGACAGATAGCTCCGCCCAACTGTTTACAGTTGTAACAGGGTGAGCCATGATTGGGCAGAGTCATCATGACTTTGCCCAATCATGGCTCTCACTGTTCTCTGTGCCCTGATTGGGCAAAGTCTTGCACCTAACATGTGGTCAGGTGCAAGGCTTTAGCCAATCAGGGCTCACAAGGCACAGTGCCTCATGCGGGGTGCTCAGCGGCGAACAGCCCACCGAACACCCTGACAGTTTGTGTGTTCGTCGAACATCGAGCCCAACCCTACTGAGGAGACAAGTTGAGCATCACTCTCCATCCAGCATCCAGGCTCTAAAAGAGGTGATTCTTGAAGAAGGGAAATATATATATATGTTGCAATATGTCGCCACCTTGTTCATTCCATGCCTAGAAGACTTGGTGCTGTCCTTACAAATCATGGAGGTCACACAAAATACTAGATGTAGTAGTTTTTGTTGTGGGGTGTATTCATTTTTGCTTCACCTATTTTGAGTAAAACTGAAGATTCTGTAATCTAAGTTATATTATTAACCTTACTTTCATGTAATGAGCTAAACAAATGTTCTATAAAACTCGGTTTTGTCAAAATTTTGGAAATTGTTCTTGTGTTCACTGGGTTACTGATTAAAATCTTACTGTTCAAAGGCGTGTACTCATTTATACTGTATTATATTGAGTAGACAGAATCTGGAGCAGTTGCTCAACCAATCAGCTTGTCTCTATATACACGCATACACAGAAGTATATGCAGGTTGCAGGAATTGATTACTTACATACATAATTATACACAGTAAATATAACACAGTGGTCTTGTAGGACACATGCAGAGCAGAAGAGCTGCTGCAGTGATTATCCTCGGGGTCTGCTGTGACCCTGCCAGCAGCTGCTGCAGATGAATCTGTGGGAATTCTCAGGTTTGAATGACTCGATCCAGCAGGGATGGAGAAAGACGTCCTACCTTCTAAAGAAGAAAGATAGGTCACCAGCACTCCAATTAATTTAAATGAATAAGTCCTTTTTATTGGACAATTGTGTCACAATAATCAAAAAGAGCCGACGTTTCGGGGCCACGCAGGGTCCCTTCCTCAAGGCAAAAGATGTGACAATAAAATAGTATCCACACACCACATATATACCCCATGATGCCAATAAATTATTAATAGACACACCCCCAGTGATGTCAGAACAGCTGGAAAAACGCCATATTTAAAATGCATAATCTCATTTAAAATCACATATTTAAACAATCCAAATTACTTACTAAATAATGCCTACGATCTGAGGATCGGAATAGGTGTTGTGGCGGTGTAATGTCCGTCATCACAGCGATCTGCATACGATGTCTGTCAGCTACATAGCGGCATTGCGATACCAGTAGTATATACAACGTCGCCTCATATCCTGGTTTGTCGGTGCGTACAATACGCGTCATTGGTAACCAGGGTGATGGGGAGATACAATTCTCCACCATCGTAATGCGCATGTGCCAGCCTATGTATCAGCTGAGTGCGGAAAAAACAAGCGAACAATGTTACCATTACACGGGCACAACACCGAACATCAGAATGGGGGGAAATTATAATAATAAGCAATGTTTAAACCAAATATATAAGAAAAATGATATTAGTGATATACATCAGCAAATAAGGAACCAGGACAAACAGCATACTAATGAAAAGAAAAGGACAACACCAGCTAAATATATATACAAACAGTACATCACATAAAATATCAGAGCATACTAACATAGAACATGAAATGCAGAATCAACTCGGGACCCATATAGTTCATCAAGAATATAGCCAGAAAAGTTAATTTATATAGCTAGAAAAATTATTTTAATAATATGAAAGTGTATCATAAAATATTTTTACATTATTTTAATAGTGTATCATGGAATATTTTTAAAGAAGAGACCCTGGTATATACTGTCGGTCTATTAAAATAAAATAAAACGTCAGTATAGATCTATAACTAAGTACGTACCATCATAAAGATGAAAAGATAGTTATTAAAATATTTTTATAAAATATTTGAATATGAATATCCGGAGAGGTAGTGTCAGCAGCTACTCGACAAGATAGCAGGATAAACATAAAGAGGAATTAAGTCCTCTTGGTTTCACTGTATTTAGTGTGTGTATCCAGTAGGCTTCCCTTTGTAGCAGTATATTGTCTCTATTGCCACCTCTGTGCGGTCTTGGTACATGTTCGATAACCATTGCTTTAAGCTCATGTGTTTGATGATTTAATTGTGCAAAGTGTATCGCCACTGGTTTATTTGGGTCAATGTCTTTTCCTTGTCTTTTATATTCAATTGCTAGTTTGATGTCACTTTTATGTTTTTGATATCGTTTTTTAAACGCATTGATAGTTTTCCCACATAAACCAGTGAGCAAGGACATTTCAATATATATACACAGTAGTCGGACACACAATTCAGGTAGCTGTGAATGGAATATCTCTTCCCTGTATATGGATGAAAAAATGATTCACCAGTGATGAGGGAATTGCAGACGCTGCAATTGTGGCATCTATAGCATCCCTGTTTGGTAGATAATTTATATGGTGTAGTACCGTATTTGGAATGTGGGTCAGCACAGACTAGGTAATCCCGTAGGGATTTATTTCCCGAGTGGACAACACGCGGTGTATGTTTAACGATAGGGGCTAGGGTCCTATCAGCTCTCAGGATATTCATGTTACGTTGTATCGTACGTTTCACCTGGTATGAATAGGGATTAAAATTAGTTACAAACAATGTGTCATTGGAACATATCTCCTTAGGTTTAGGGGTACTGAACCTATCCCTGGCCACTTTAAGGGTGTGTTCAAGTATATATTCAGGATAGCCTCTGTCACTAAATTTATCAAGCATTCTTTGTAGTTGTATTTCGCAATCTGTGGCATCCGAGCAGATGCGCATGACCCGAATGAACTGAGAGATAGGTAATGAATCTCTCAGTCCATCAGGGTGCGCACTGTTATAGGAAAGCAACGCATTGCGATCAGTGGGCTTAGTGTACAATGAGGTTGTAAGTTGTCCTAGGTTATTCGTTACCATTACATCCAAGAATGCAATCTTGGAATGTGACATCTCTGGATTGAAAACAATACCCTCTGCTAGTGTGTTAAGATATTCTACAAAGATCTGTGCATCATCATTAGATCCTGACCATACCACAAAGATATCGTCTATATATCTCGTCCACAATCGCACATGCTCAAACAATTCACATGAGTAGATGAAGCATTCCTCAAGGTAGCCTATGAATAGATTTGCATAGGAGGGGGCAACTGAGCTCCCCATTGCCGTGCCTTTTGTCTGGAGGAAATACTGTTTCTCAAACCGAAAGTAGTTGGTTTCAAGTACCATTTTTAACCCCTCAAGTATGAAGGCCGTTGGCGGTGATGTTGTCTCTCTACGGGTTAGAAAATATTCTACTGCCTGTAACCCCCCATTTGTGGGGATACAGGTGTACAGGGCAGATATGTCCATAGTTAATAGTATCCAGCCGGAGTGCATGTTATCGATAATCCTTAATTTTATAATGAAATCGCTTGTGTCACGGGTATACGAGTGGAGAGCTTTCACCATTGGTTGTAAAAAATGGTCTAATAGCATAGCCAGTGGTTGTAATGCTGAACCGGTCCCGGCCACAATGGGCCTGAAAATAAGTGGATCATGTCCCTTATGAATCTTTGGTAGACCATATATCACTGGTGTGCGAGCATGTAAATTATAAAGCCACTCAGCAATATCCTCGGATATCCATCTCTGGTCCAAGGCCAAGTTGGTTAAAGATGATAATTTCTTGAGAATTGCATGTAGAGGATCATGTGAGATTTGGAGATATGTACATGAGTCAGATAGAAGGTTGCATATGCCCATTTTATAGTTAGCATAGTCCATGATGATGATGGCTCCCCCTTTATCGGCGGGTTTCATAATAATAGAATCGTCCTTCTGTAGAGATTTTAAGGCATTTCATTCAGCCTTTGTCAAATTTTAATATTTTTGATGGTTATACATTCTTCTCCGATCTGTAACATTACGGGTATCATATCTGACGGTCTTAATGTAGGTCTCGATAGAGGCAAATTGTCCTGGCGGTATAAAGGAACTTTTGTTATTAAATGTATTAGTAGATGAATCTATGCATTTGGTGCAAGGTTGGTGACTGAAGTGTTGTGTCAGTTTCAATGAACGTTCCAGTTTGAAAGTGTCAATCTCAAACTGGAAGTCATTAAATACTGGAGATGGACAAAACAAAAAGCCCTTACTAAGGACATGGTTTTCAATTTCAGAGATGGTTCTAGATGACAAATTAATTATCGGACATTTTTGAGTCGTTGTTGTCTCGTATTGATGGATGGTCCCGAGATTCTTCTTCTTCCTGCCTCTTCTTGTGCGTTTCTTCCGGTTCTTCCTAAAAAAGAAGTAGATGTGGGGGCTGGTCCAGTTGTAGCAGTGGTGTCTTGCATTTGTGTTGTAGTTACGTCACTATCTGTCGATGGATTTTCCGTGGGTCGTTCACTCTCACTGGAGCTAGTATTACGTTTATTGAAACGTTGTCTTGTTCCCCCACGTACAAAGGTACCACCCCTGCGTCGTCTTTGGAACGTATTCCCGGTAAGGCAGGGATATACTCTACCATCCTGGTAGTCCTGACATACTTGTTTAAATTTTTCCCGTTTTGCAGCACAGATTTTATCTGCATAAATACGTGTTTCAGAGTTAATCCTTTCCATTTCAACATTGAATGCGACGTCATCAGCAATTTTATTGCAGATCTTTGTTTCATGTGACAAAGTGTCCTTGTTGATTTGGCATAGTTGCATTTTGATTTCCTCAATCACAAGCAGCATGTAGTTAAACGAATTTTGTGTAGAAATTGTGCACCACCTATCACAGAATTCTCTGCTTTTTGCAGATAAATGTAAGGTAAATTCAAGCACACTCATGATGGACTACAATCTTAATACAAATTAGTAAACTAAACATGAGATTGTAGCCCATCATGGGAGTGAGCTTGGAGCAGTGGTTACTTTATAACACACAAAGCGGCCATGGGGAACAAACACAGCCACTATCTACAAGGAGAGATAGTGTCAGCACAAATTCAGAGATGTTTCGAGGATCTACAGCTGAGTGATGCACAAATAAGGTAGTTTTCTTAATAGTTTAGGTACTTGAATGCATTTTTAAGATTTAACTCCTGAGTTTATTGTCATTTTAAATTTACCTGCTGCCATGGAATGGAGAATGCTTGAACGTTCCTCATCCTGCAGAAATGACCAGTCTTCATAGAAGGCGCTATAAAAGAAAAAAAAAGAAGATATATTAACAACATATAATACATTGTATATGAAATACATTTTTCTGACATAAATCTAAGGTGAAGTGGCACCAGGATACCATGCTAATACTATATGAATGGAACATAACATCATAAAAACACTAACTCTTTAGCAATAGGAAGCATGATTGCAAGAAGAGTCCACAAAAAAAAATGTCTTAAGTGGGGGGCATTAGATCACAATCCTATATACAGCATACTCACTATACCACTGTTCCCCTGGCATTCCTTCTTTCTCTGCAGCTGGCGACAATATCCAACACTTTCTGGTATGGAGTGGCATATGCCATACTTCCAACGCCGCACCTACTCCCCTCCTCTCCCAGCTCTGAGCTCTCTCCCGCCGCTGCCCGCTAAGATGCTGCCCGCCAAGATGATCACGTAGTTGCCGGGAGACTGCAGTGTGGGGGAACGGCAGCTGCCGACAGTTCCAAGATCTCGGAAGAAAGTAAAGTTGCTTGAAGAGTGTGCAGGTAAGACTACCTGCACCCCCCCCAAGCTGTATAAATGTATTGCTGAGATTTTTTGTATTCCTCTATAGCTGATCGTGTATTGCGCTGTATATGTACCATCAGCTATAGAGGACCACAAATCCCAGCAATACATTGTACACTGTATGTATATTGCATTGCTGGGATTTACTGTATTCTCCTATAGCTGGTGGTATTCTGCATAATATTATTGCTGGGATTTGTAGTCCTCTAAAGCCGGTTCCATTCTGCATTGATTGCTGTATAATTTTACACATTCCATTTCACTATATTGCACACCACACTTTTTTTTTTTTTTGCTTCCACCGCTCCAAGCTTGACTGATGTGACTGGCTCAGTGTTTTCTGTACAGCACTGCAGTATATGTTAGAGCTATATACATGTATAATCATAGTGTGTGATTGTGGGGGGACATTAGAGTGTAAGCTCCTCTGTACAGATAATGTTTGTGTTTTGTTCCTGCACTAAATGAGTGATACTAAGTGTAAATACTTTATTACGTGATGTAATATTAAATGGTGAATTATGAATAATGTGAAAGCTGCTGCAATAAAGACAACTGGGTCAAATCATATGTATTTACAAATATGCAGCGCCAAACTTGTGAGTGTGCCTAACTAAGTGATGACTAAATGGCGTGTGTACCTCTATTGGTCCATCGACCTATATTCCAACCGTGATGAGTGAAAAAATGTAATATATATATAAATATAAATAAGCGATCAGTATGTATAGGTCACTATACACCTTCAAAATTATCTAGTGTCCAAAGTATATCCACCAACCATGAAAAGCTAAAATCAGTGTATAACACTATAACACTATATATAAGTGAAACAGTGCAAAAATTAGTGACTGAGTTGCGTACTCATAACACTATGAAAAGCAAAAATCAGTGTATAACACTATATATAAGTGAAACAGTGCAAAAATGAGTGACTGAGTTGCGTACTCATAACACTATGTATACACTTGTGTATCTGTGGTTAGGTTATTCAATAACCCTGGACAGTGAACCCCACAGTATCCCTTTTAAATATTAGTATTAGTGTTAAAACACCGTGAATAGTCCATATAATCATATAGCATTCCTGGTGCACAAAGCTATTCACAATTGATGTGAGCGGTCCTGCAAAACTTGCTGGGGATTTAGACAAGTGCCGTACGCCTCCCCTCAAAGTGTGCACTCACCATGATGTGATGGCTGTAGTAAGCAGCCGAAAGCGCTTGTGTGGTAACTCACGGAGCCGCAGCGTCCTTACTGTGTCTTTTTCCGATCGGTGTCCAGCGAGCGGCGTGTCTCCATATTCATACAAAGAAACAACTCTTCATTGTGTAGTAATTTCCAAAAGGGCTTTATTTTAATCCAGTAGAAAAGCATAACAAAGTATTTGCCGGACGGTAAAATAGTAAAACAACGAACTACTGTGTTTGGTATGACGTGGATTAGGCCCTCCCTACGCGTTTCGTCATTAAGACATCCTCAGGGGGTTGTGCAGAGACTGATGTGACTGTGGGGGGGACATGAGAGTGGAAGCTCCTCTGTACAGAGACTGATGTGACTGTGGGGGGGGGCATTAGAGTGTAAGCTCCTCTGTACAGAGACTGATGTAACTGGCTCAGTGTTCTCTGTACAGCACTGAGTTCTGTAGGAGAAGTGTTGTCAGAGCTACATAAATGTATAATAAATGTATAATAATAGTATGTGACTGTGGGGGGGACATTAAAGTGTAAGCTCATCTGTACAGAGTCTGATGTAACTGGTTCAGTGTTCTCTGTACAGCACTGCGGTATATGTTAAAGCTACATAAATGTATAATAATAGTATGTGACTGTGAGGGGGGCATTAGAGTCTAAGCTCCTCTGTACAGAGACTGGCTCAGTGTTCTCTGTACAGCACTCCAGTATGTCAGGGCTATATAAATGTATAATAATAACATTGTGACTGGCTCAGTGTGGCGGCGGTGCAGGGGAGGGGGGACCGGGCGGTGCGGGGACCCCCACACCTGCTCCTCCTTCTCCCCGCGTCCCTGTGCCGATCGTGGATGTGGGAGGGCGGTGAGGCATGGAGGAGGTGCGGCGTGTGTATGCGGGCGGGTCTGGCAGCGGCGGGCGTGAGGTGGAGAGGAGGTGCGGCGCACAACGTGTGTGGAGCCGTGAACAGGGCCAACTAAGCAGAAGCCGATTAATCGATGATTGAAAAAGTTGACAACTTTTTCAATAATCGATTATAATCGATTATGTCGATTAGTTGTTGCAGCCCTACTTGAGACACAGGTTGCAAATAGCAATGCTGCGGTCTGCTGCACATGTGCTGTAAAAAACTCCCACACAGCTGAGTTCCTGGAAGTGTTCTGGGAGACAACAGCACCCTGCACCAGTGCAGCTCTGCCTTCTGATGCAATGGGCTGGCTGCTCATATGGTTGCCCCTGGAGGACATTGTGCCTCGTTGGGGTTGTGCCCCCTCCTCACTTTCTTTCTCTGTTCGATCAGGTACCCAAGTAGAGTCAGTGACCTCATCATCATCACCCCCTCTGTCCTCGTCACTGGAGCCAACCTGGCAGCAGGCCTGGTGCTACCGCAAGGCAAGTCAGGCGGCCGCCTGAGGGCGCTGCAGGGTGAGGGCGGAAAAAACAGGGCATTTTGACAAGTACTTGTACTTGTCAAAATGCCCCGATGCTTGCACTATTTTTTTTTTCTTCACTTACCTTCTGTGGATGGCCTGGACGTCTCTGTGAGATGGTTGCAGTTCAGCCTGGCAGTATGCTGCAGCTGTTTGTTGTCCATCATTGGCACCCCCTCCCTCTAGGCTCATGTTACTCCCTTCCTCAACCTCAGAGCCAACATCAAACCATTGTAATTGCTGCACATCCTCCAGCAGCATGTCACAGACGGTGTGTTGAAACAATTCAGCTGACTCCTCCATGCATGATGGTGAGGCTACGGCAGGAGAAGCTGTGGACAAGGAGGCAGAACAGGCCACTTTGGCAGGTGCAGAGGACTGAGAACCAGTATGAGCTTGGGAGACAGAGGAGGATGAGGATGGATTAGTTATCCAATCCACCACCTCATCTGTATGTTGTTGCTGAATAACACGACAAGCACCAGATAAAAAGAACAAGCGTGCCCTGCCTGTAGAGGATGTACCTGTGACGACATGGTGATCAGTTTATAAGTTAAATGTGTATTGGTGTTGGGTTATGTTTGAGTGCGTTATGCTGTGTGACCTGGTTATGGAAAGAGTATCAGCACCATCCCTCGTTATCTCCCATTGTTCTCTGAGGGAGCTCAGAACAATGACATTCTGGCCAGGCTCCTGCTATGGCTGTCTGGAGCTCGTTAGCAGGTGGACACCTGTGGTGTTGAGCAGACCGATTGTCTGGGAGGGGAGGGTGGATGTGATGGGATTATATTCTGATTTCATCACTTGCTGTATAAAAGTTTGTGCAGTTGCTCAATAAATCAGAGTTTGTTTCACCTACACTCAAGCCTTGGCTAGTGACTGGGGAAACTGGGAGCTACAGATCTTCAGGTTCCAATATCTCCTCAGCAAGGAAGAAGACAGCGGCGGACATACTCATCCTGAGTACGGGGGTCCGTCACAGTACCACGACCACGACTTTGGCCTGCGGACACAGAGGCTGCTTGCCCTCTTATTGCTGCATGAGAGCGTCTGCCTGTCCTTTTTGGCCTTTTACGACATGAGGCTTTTTGCAATAGACTGCAATAATTGACTGTTAGAATTGACTGTTATAATCGACTGCTATAATAGACCAGTATGACTGACTGCTATAGTCCAGAACGCTGTATAGAACTCTGATATAGAACTCTGCTATAGAACGCTGCTATAGAACGCTGCTATAGAACGCTGCTATAGAACGCTGCTATAGAACGCTGCTATAGAACGCTGCTATAGAACTCTGCTATAGAACTCTGCTATAGAACTCTGCTATAGAACTCTGCTATAGAACTCTGCTATAGAACTCTGCTATAGAACTCTGCTATAGAACGCTGTTTACAACTTTGATACAGAACTCTGATACAGAACCTCTGATACAGAACTCTGATACAGAACTCTGATACAGAACTCTGATACAGAACTCTGATACAGAACTCTGACACAGAACTCTGACACAGAACTCTGACACAGAACTCTGATACAGATCTCTGCTCCAAAACTCTGCTCCAAAACTCTGCTCCAAAACTCTGCTCCAAAACTCTGCTCCAAAACTCTGCTCCAAAACTCTGATAAAGATGTTCTCTTTCTGAACTCCAGCAATACACTACGTAGGGCTGCGGTGTAAGCAGCCTTATACAGGTGAAACTCGAATAATTAGAATATCGTGCAAAAGTTCATTTATTTCACTTATGCAACTTAAAAGGTAAAACTAATATATGAGATAGACTCATTACATGCAAAGCAAGATAGTTCAAGCCGTGATTTGTCATAATTGTGATGAT